AGTCGAGCAGCTGAAAAAATTGGTACGATTATTTCTATTTTTAATAAATAGTTTTTTTCCACTTTATTTGTTTATTTCCTTATTCTTATTTTCTATGCTATTAATAGTTGTTATCAGTCGTGCATTGTTGGTCGCGTATTCACAGTGGTAAGAAATCAAATGTAATCTGAAAGTATTGCGCTACATCTGCTTCATTCCATCATTTAGTGAAAACAGCTGTATTGCATTTTGCATGTGTAAAAGTTTAAATCATTTGAGAATGCATTTTCTAAATCTTTAAAAAGAAGAAATTATGGATGTATAAGTACTGTTCAGATTTTGCAGCTGTGTTATTCTCAGTCCAGAATTTGGTTAATTCGCTTAAACCAGCTGAATAAAGCAAATTTTTTGATAGATATCTCAGAAAAGGTATAAAAGTGATAAAACAGGAATAAACGATTTAAACTTTGTACAAAACAAGTGAATAGCTTTGAAAAGGTCCTAAGTTAATTTTGATATTCTGCATAATGGATTTTTCGAATCGCAAGTGTCTTCGGTTTGATTTCAATTGCTGCTTATTATGTACTTTAGCTTTTTTGTTCGTCTCATAAATAGTTCGATTTCAGGTCAACTCACGGCTTCACATATTGGAGCAGGATTGAATACAAAAGGAAACCAACCAGGTATAAAAGGAACAGGCTTTACAGTGAAAGCTCTCTATGATTACACTGCTGCAGATAAGGATGAGGTTGGTAGTATTAGTATCTTGGTAGTATTAGTATCTGTAATAGTTAGTTTGCCAAAATAATATGCGAAAATATTAACTGGAGTAAGCAAGTTGTGATTTGATGCGGTACATTCTATCTGGAAAGATTCTAGAATATATAATCATAGAATAACTGCGTTTCTTTTGTTTTGCATTAAAATTTTTACTTTAGGTTAGAATAGGTTTATTTGTCAGTTGGCATTCGGAAATGACTTCTTTGATTTCAGGTGACATTCGTTGAGGACGATATTATTGTAAATTGTCAAAAAGTTGATGAAGGCTGGCTAACGGGCACTGTGCAGAGAACGTTGCAATGGGGAATGTTACCCTCGAATTATGTGGAGAGAATTAAACAGCCAACAGGGCTTCACTATCTCAGCTGAGCATTTTCAGTACTAGGTTTATTTTGCATGGTTTGCATCTTTTTATTTTTCTTGCTTTAACATAGCTATGCTATCATTAGAGTTATATGTTTTTGATGTTAGCTTTCAATGAGAGTGAGAAAGAGACGAGATTTTTTGACTGAATTACTTGTCTTTTATGGTGGTAAACAATTCCCACCTTTCTCATACTTGTTTTAAAGCAAGTTAGAAAGTGAAGTATAACTTATGAATATAGCTAGCATTGTCATCCTTTTTCAGAAAGTCAAGATCGTATGCCTTGGAAAATTGCAGTTTATCTAAGAATTAATGTTATAAATTTTATTTACTCTGATTTACTGGCTTCTTTCCAGTATTGCTTTTATTCTCTTTTTGTTGCTGTGCGACTGTTTCCTTCTTCCAGATTTTAATAACATTTTATTCATTCTATTATCCTTAGTGCTTTTTGTTAGGGTAGCCGATATTCATTTTGTAAGCAGCATATCGGAGTTGTGCATGAATTTTTCAAGTTTTGAATTATATGATTTCCACAAACTTAATTGTGGCAAAAAATTGTTTATTCTATTAACTATTGCAGTTTTTCAGGAAAAAAGTGATTGAATTTGGAAGTAAAACTCGAACGGAAATCCTTGTATGAGGATCGAGCAAATTATACCGCAGATAGTTTTAATATATTTTTTTAAACTAAGTTTTGTGTTGAAAATGAGCTACTTCCATTTCTTTATTCATATTAGCGCAACGCTTTAAATTGCTTCAGTGATTTATATATGTGATAATTATTTATAATAATAATTATTTGGAGCGGTTCGGGATATCAATGCCATAAGAGGAGAGAACTTCTATTAATATTTAATTTTCCTAGATTTTTTTCCTGTATTTTGTTTTTGTTTCTATTTTTCTTTCTTTTCATTCGGTATATTATCTACGGTCATTCATTTTTATAAATTAATTTTCCTACTTCGTTGCAATGATTGATTATGTATTCAATTCGAAAAAACTTTAAAACGATTGGAATCAAAACGTAGGCTTAAATAGGAGACAAAGGGTAGATTCCTACAAAAGTGCATGCATAGTGGGCAGTGTCTGATTATGAAATTTTTTTTTTTTGAAAAAAGTAAGATTCTGTTCATATTCCTTTTTTCTCAGAAATAATTTTTGAGGATGAAAAACGGCCCTTATGCAATAATTTTTTTTTTTTTCAAATATGGAATAATATAAAGAAAAAGTAGTGCTTAATGTAACTCATCGTAGCAAATTATATAGAGCGAAAGATTAATAGTAAAGTTAATAATTAGATTTTATATGAATTCATGTCTTTGGCAGGGCAAAATTATTAATTACAAACTTTTGAGAAGATCTTAAAATTCCGGATGTCTAGATATTGCTCTGAATTAATTAGTATATTCATTAAGTCAAGGTTTTGTTAAGGGTTTTGTCTGTTGCACAATTTACGTACTGCTTTGAAAACGATTTTTTTCTCGTTCCAACTTTAATATGATCCGCGTTTTGTGCCTTTTTCGTGCTTGGAAGTAGAAATTCTTTTGTGTTCCTTACTGTTTGCTTTTTTTTGTGGAATTATTTTTCCAATCCGACTGAATTAACGCTATTCACAAATCTGACGTTTTATTTTATTGATTGATACATCATAATTTCCTTTTCGTGGGTTTTTTTGTTGGTTGTCCATTGTCCATTGGCTATCTTGCTCTAAACCCGACTGATTATATTGTTGGTGTATCAACGAAAAATGCTAGTAATGTAGAACTGACTAATTCGGAAATAGGGAATCTAGTTGATTCTGTCCTGGAAAAATAAGCTGAATATATTAGATATTTTTTGCGGAAAAACGATTTACTGTGATGAAAAGGTAAATCGAAATTTTACCATCGTGTGATTTTTCCGCATTTTTATTGTTATAACTGATCTTGTCAGTTTAATTCTTTTCTCATTGTTAATGTTCATGTGCGCTGCTATCAGTGATATTAAGTATCACGTTTATGTTATCCTCTTTATTTTATTTTTTTTTTTTTGCGTCATATATACATCTCAAGATAAAAAATACTTATGCTTTGTCGTTATCATGTTCTTACCGATATGATGCAACGTAAACATTTTCGGATCTTTTAAACTTGTATGTTTTTTTGACCGAGAGTGAAGCAATCATTATTAACTGGAGTGTTTTTCATCAAAAAATAAACAATGATTAAAAAGTTTTGCAGTTGATCGGTATGACCATAACGACATTTTACATTTCAATTATGAATTACATGCATTCGTCTACAGTTTAGGAATTAATGTACCTCAGCTAGCGGTTATATCATTTTCGAGATAGAAAAAGTGATAAATTTTACAAAGAATTTATTAATATTTTTTGTAAGAAAAGATGACAAAATGAGAAGATTTGCATTCTAATTGTTACCAATAACTTGACAACAAACAAAGTTTAAACCTTCAGTACTTTGTGAACCATGTATAGTTGGTCTTATGCATTCACAGTTTACATTACGTCGCAATTTCTCCTAAAAAATGTGTACACCACATTTACATATTCCATATACTTTTAACATTTGATCTTAGTAGTTAAGCTTTAATAAAACCATTTAAAAAGTGAGAATTTCCAAAAAAAAATTACAGCAAGAAAAGTTTTATAGTTTAAAATTTTGTCATTTCAAAATAAAAAAGAAAAAAAGTGTTGTTAACATTTCAAATATATGAAGCAAAAAAGAAAAAAAATGACAATATTCTACCGAATCACAGCAACAAGATTTCAAGAATTGTCGAAAACTGAAAATTGGACATGGACAACATTTTGCGATCATCGAACAATCCAAGTATGAAGAATGCATTTCTTCAAATGTGCATACTTTATGTGATTGAATGAATCGATGTGGCTGAAATAAAAATTATTGTTTACAAACAAATGTGCGAAAAAAAAAAAATCAGCAATTTAAATTCATTGCTTATCTTAAAAGCTTTACATTGTCTAACATTCTATCATAACATTTCTAAAAAGAAAAAATATTTTGAAAATTACACAAAATAATGAACTAACCTGAAATCGAATACAAATGAAAAAAATTATAAAAACAAGGATGAAATAAGCAACAGATATACATAAAACAATAGTAACGAGAGCAATTTCTTTATCAACAACATCCATCAATAATAAATGTAAATTTAATGAAATGAATTCGAGTATTTCCATGGTAACGGAAATTTTATTCGCCGAAATTATTTCCTTTGTTTAATCAGAAAAAAAAAGGAAAAAGTTAGGAAATACAATTTTAGTAGCATATTTTAAGAAATAAGAATGGAAAGAGAAAAATACAAACAGAAGTGATATCTAATTTAAAATTTTTTTTATTTTTATTCATAGTTTTCATTAATTAATTTCAATTACTACAAGAAATTTTCTTTACTCATTTAATTCACTTTTTTATTTCTTAATTAATTCTATGCCTAAATGATATTATTAATTATTCATTTAATTGAATTAACATTTAATTTCAATAAAAAACACTTTCTAAGATTTATTTACACCTTATCATTTGAGATATCTCAGCCTGAACCGTAAAGTATTAATCGGCGCAAAAAAAGAAAGTTCTAATGAAAAATATCTTTAATTTCCTAATTATTACTGATTCTACTTTTTTTTATGTTAATTTAAACATGAAGCGTATTAATATTTAATGTTATTTAGCATTAGTATACATCTCGAAATTGCGTACTAATTTATAATAAATATAGTTTATTAAATATATTCATTTTCTTTCATTATTATTATTATTATTTTCTTTCAAAAGTATTTGCAAAAGTTATGCTTTTGTAAAATATTGCAATGAAATTTCTTTTATAATTATATTTGAGATTGCAAATAAATGACTTCATTATCGGAACAATTTTCAACATCAATAATATTTAACGACCAACAGCGTGATCTCATTCATCATGTTGCATTCGATTTTCATGGACGACGAATTGCTACATCATCTAGCGATATGATGGTTTGTGTATGGAATTTATCACCAAATGGTAGTTGGATTAAATCTGCTTCATGGAAGGTAATTATGTTTGGTTTAATTTTAATTTCGCTCAATTGAATGGTCATTACATTTGATGATTTTGGTTAGTAATTAATAAGAGTAACAGAAGGGTATTGAATATTGCACTTCACTAATTTCGACAATTTTTAGTGCTATGTAATATTGGTGAAATAAACTGGCTTTATACCTAAATTAATTGCTGCACTTTTTACTTAATAGATTATAGCTATTATAAATCAAAAGTATTTTTGATATTATAGAGTCATGGTGGACCTGTTTGGAAAGTTATTTGGGCACATCCTGAATTTGGACAAATTTTGGCTACATGTTCATTTGATCGAAGTGTAACAATATGGGAGGAAACAGGTTCGCTATATTTTACTACTTCAATAACTCAAAAATACATATATATGTTTTGAATTCAGGTTTAATTATTTGTTTAAAATTTGGGAATAAAACAGTGTGTTGTAGTACGTCAACCGGTTAAGACAATAACGAAAAATGGCGTTCACAGTGGCCAAAAACAACAACAAGCACGTTGGAAACGTTGTTGTCAACTTGTTGATAGTCGTCATAACGTTACTGATATTAAGTTTGCTCCAAGACATCTTGGATTAATGCTTGTAAGTGATAGTCTGAATATTTAATACCTTTATCTTATTCATAAATGCTTTTTCAACCTTTGAGAATTCAATAAAAAAATTTGTGGTGAGGACTAGATTTTTCGTAGATTTCACTGAAGTACGGAAATAAAAGCTGGATGTGACATACGTTAATATATAGTTGTTAAGCTTTATTAAACATGAATATATAGTTATTTTTCATCATAATGTACAGTGATTTATAGAATTTATTTGTAGGCAACTGTATCTTCTCAGGGAATATTACGAGTATACGAAGCTCCAGACATTATGAACTTATCGATGTGGAGTCTGAACCAGGATATAGTGGTTTTTCGATATCGGTGCAGTTGTCTGTCATGGAGTACACATCGTCTTACAAAACCGCTTATTGCTATTGGATCGGATGATGCACATACAACTGGAAAACGAGTGGTCGTTTATGAATATTACGACAATCTTCGGTCTTTTCTATTAATAATTAGAACCATTATATTACTCTTACTACATCTTGACATTAACTGTTTTAATGTTTTGGTTCGGAATTGATTAAACTCTTTTCCTAAACAAAATACTAATTGTTAAGACGGTACTGACAGAATGCATTTTTAGAAAGTGGCAACTATTGAATACTCCATCCTTAAAAGTAACTGAGCCAGTAACTGATATTGCTTTTGCACCACCTGCTGGACGATCATATCATTTGCTTGCTGTTGGTTCTAAAGATATTTGCATCTTCAAATTGAGTGAAACCGGGAAAACCACTGGTTTTAATGTTGATTTGGTTGAACGAGGTGGACCAACTGAGTATGAGATAACACAGTTGGAAGCACTTGAAAATCCTTCTCATTCACCTGTTCAGGTTCTTTATACTTTTAATTTCTTATTTTTCACAAGTTCCTCACAGTTATTTGAATGTGTTGTGGAAAAATTAATTTCTTTTAATCAGTTAATTATTACTTGACGAAGTTGACCTCATGATCTTTCTCTACTTATATCATTAATCTGGGATCGTTTACTGAGTACAACATTTTAATTTTAACTGTTTTAATTTTTTTTTTTTAAATTAAAATTACCGCAACTAAAATATGGTCACAAATCTTGATCAGCTTACCATGTTAGCCACCAAAAATTCTCTATGATCACAGTGTAGATACTATTCTGATAATTAAAATCAGAAACTTTGATAGATTTGGCGGTTGTCATGGAACATAACTGGAACAATCCTAACAACTGGAAGCTCAGACGGATATATACGGTTATGGAAAGGTGAGTAAATTATTTTTTCATTTATGTTTTCTATCGCAATTTCTTTACATGCCACAATTAAGCTAAGGTAATTTAAGAAAAAAAGTCAATTTTACTTATTTAGTAAGTTGAAACTGTTTTTTTTTTTTTAGAAAATTTATTGAAAAAATGGACTCTTGTCGCAACGGTAAAGTCAACAGAAGACTGTAAACCATCTGATGATGATCCGAGAGCTACAACATCAATAAGTTCCCTTACCAGAGAAAATCATGTATATTATTGATTTTGTTGCTACTGATTATATTAATTACATTGAATATGTTTGCCTTTATGACCTTTCGATTTGTTTAAAATAAATTACAAATTATTTTGTGATGAATTATTCGTTTCATTTTTTTTTTAAATGGAACCATGTGCACTTCTGAATCTAAAGTTCATGAAAATGAAAGGAAAAAGGAAGTGAAGGAGAGAGAGAGAGCGTGAGTAATGTTACCAGAAAAAAAACCAATTATTTTTTTTTTTTCTAACATTTCAAGAATCAAACATTTTTTTCTTTGCTTTTTTAAACTTGTTTTTTATACTTAGTGAGTGTATGAGACTGTCAGTTAAAAATATATAAAAACACTTTTCATACATTTATGATCATTTTTTAATTTTTATTATCCCTGAGGATATCTTATGGTTCCTATTAAGAAATCATAAATTTTTTCTTTTTTTGTAAAGCATATTCGATAAAATGTTTTTACATAACATAGTATATTATGATTGACAATACTTGTCACGTTTGATTACAAACAATGGCTTTTTCATTTGAAATAGTTACATAGGATGATTGACATGTGTTTGTCTAATTTATTTTTGAAATAAAATTGTATTGTCTTATAACATGTAATGAATTCATATAGATGGCAAATTTTTTTTTTTTTTTTGCATTCCTGGTGAATTTGAATAATTTCTTTTAATTTTTTTACCCTCCTATCATGTTGTATCCGTTTGCAATTGGTCGAAATGATTTATATGCATGATTATATGAATCATTTCTTGCCGATAGTATTATTACACACCCATTTTTAAATTTCTCTCCTATGTCTTTTAATTTCCCTTTTTCAGCATTTCATTCGTTTACACATACAGCTATCATTCTCACTAATTAGTTTCGTAACAGAATATTTCTCACATATTCTTTTCGATGTCTTTTTTTTTATTTTGCATAACATTTGAAGATATTTGATTAAAGGAACAAGAAATGATAAAGTGAGTATGCAACTTTGATCTGATAAGATTAGATATTTTCGAATTTCTGTTTTAAGATTGCATTCAAAATATGTAAGAGCAAAATTTGAAGAAGCTCTCAGGCTTGATAATTTAGATTTTGAGAAGTCTGTTAGTGATATGTATGTAATAATTTTAAGTGTTGAATGAATAAAAACCTTTAGATAATAAATAATTATATTCCATATATCTACATGGATATTTTTTGACCGATTTTTTGCTAATGATTGGCTACTACTACTGCTATTAGAATATTTTGATTAATTTGAGAAATTTTTAAATATTATTTTCCAGAACGGGAATTGTTCAATTTAGGTACTAGTGATAATCTATCAATAAGAATGGAAGATTATGAAACGCTTACTACAAATTGGTTGAAATGGGATAATGTATGCTTTTAATTTATGTTTTGTTTTTTTTTGTCTGTGGTATCTTATTTTTATATTTGTTTGCTATGAGATATAGCTACTCTTTGTCCCTTTTACTGATATTCTAGATAAGATTGAAATGAATTCCTTCTTGATATGAGTTAAAATTTGTTGCTGAAGTTTATATAGTTTCATTTTCATTATTTTTAATTACAAATGTGAGGACTAAAAAATGATTTGCTGTTTATTCATTTGTACTACCACAACAAAGATTCAGATTTGAGGAATTTTTTGAAGGGACAAGAATATAATTTAGGTGAATAGTTGGAAGAATTATGACATGTTAAGGTAAAAGTGTCGGTAATTAAAGCTTAAGGTTATTTCAACAAATTTAGTTTTACAGAATGAACAAAGTCGTGCAGAAATTGACGAATTATGGAAGAAGAAAGATACTGAAGAGTTGAAATCAAGAATGTGTGGCAGGTTGTCCTTTGGTACAGCTGGTACGTTTTTCTTTCTTAATGTGTACTCCAAAATACCGGAAAATTTTCTCTCATTACCGAAAGTTATGATTGGATCATTCAACAGCATCAATGCTAATCATCATTTTAAAAAAGACAAAGTTCGCTTTAATTAATCTTTTTATTTAAATTAGTCCTTTTATTTTCGATCATTTTATGAGTCAATTTTCAAACCTTTCCTAACTACTTAAGTTTAGGAATCGAAGAAGTATTAATAAGACGAAAATGAAATAAAGAAATGGGACTGTTATTATATTAAGTCATTAATAGCATGACTAATTTTGTGAACCATCCTTTTCTGCATCATACCATAATGCTTACTTTCATGCTACGAAATTGGGTTAAAATATAAGATTAAATTTCAAATTGTTCATTTAGGCATTAGTTTGTTAGCAAGACTTTTCCAGGTGTGCGAACAAAAATGGAAGCTGGTTTCTGTCGACTGAATGATTTGACAATACTAATGCTTACCGATGGTTTTGCTAAACACTTGAAAGATGTGTATAAACGTCAAAGTAATGGTGTTGCCATTGGTTATGATGGTCGTTATAATAGCGAACGGTTCTTAGTTACCTTTTCATCCCATGCTTTAAAACGATTATATTATTTTGCTGTATAAAGAAGAGGCTAGAAAGATTATACATCTCTTTATATATTCTACAGAAAAGAATTTGTAATTTTGAAAAGTTCTAAAACTTTACAAATCCTTTCAGAAAATCCCATAATTTCCTAATAATTTGGATCATCTCATCTTTGTTAATTAAAGCATGCGATGTTTTCTTTATCTTCTTATAAATCCTAAATAACAGTTTACTGATATGGTTTAATAGGGATTTTCAGCAAATAATTTATAATTTTTAGTTGGGCTAAATTGGCTGCGAATGTATTTACCAATAATGGAATTAAAGTATATCTATTTTCGAAATGCTGTCCAACACCTCTTGTGGTAAGAAAATTGCTTTATTTGAGTAGTGAACTCTCAGGATTCTATAGTTCCGTTATTGTAATGACAAAAATTCCGTAAAAAATTTAACTGCTTCAAAGTTTGACCACTTAAAAACTTTCTTGACATTAGCTAGAAATGGTTTTAGCAAAAACAGCAGTACAAATAATTTTGAACTGATGAGATTTACAGTCTTATGCAACAATGCGATTCAAATGTGATGCTGGTTTAATGATAACAGCTTCTCATAATCCAAAACAAGACAATGGTTATAAAGCTTATTGGACAAATGGAGCTCAGGTAAATTTGATTTCTGTGAAAAGGAATAAAGAACTGTTTACTGAAATATGAATATTTTTGAGTATGAAGAAAAAAACTTCTTAATATAAAAATCAGAATTTCACATTAGAGTTGTTTAGTTTATAGTATTAATTCTTATATTTTTATTTGTAATGTGTGTTTCAGTGCATGATTTTGAACGTTTTAGAAATAAATGATTCTAGGGCAGCAGCAAGTTTTTATGCCTTTAATGACTGATAAGTAATTCAGTTAAAAAGATATTTTTAAAAAAAGTTGAACTTGAACTCACTAGATCGGAACACATCATTTGAAAATAGCGTTTCCCATTTATGAGAAATACATGTTTGATAGATATTGGCACCTCATGATTCGGAAATATGCCGACTTGCTTATGAAAATATGGAACCAAAGCCGGAGTATTGGGATGTATCAAAACTTTCAACACATCCACTTTTACATTCAGCTGATCCCATAATGGAGAAATATTTCACCGAAGAATTATCCCTGTGTCGTTATAAGTTAGTTATTTATTAAACGGAATGCTAAACTGTTCTGAGTAAAATAAATTATAAAAGATTAAAATGAAGGCAAAGTTCAGCTGAAATATTAAAAGAAATTACTGATTTTATGAGAAAATTTCACATTCCTAGATAGAAGAAATTAAAGATTGAATAAAGTATGTAATAGAGCAACTTTCAAGATGTTTGACTTAATATATCGATTTCAATATATCAATTACTGCTCATAAGGATTTTAAAAGTCTATCGACTCAGCCATTAGCTAAAAAGACATAATTCAGCAATCATTAATAGATTTAGTTCTGGTTTTAATCCCATTAATTTTCTAATTTCTCTTTAAAAAAAAAGTTGAGAGCGATGTGCCTTACCAGTTAGCTCTACTCAGCAAAGTATTGCTATAATACTCATAGTAATACTTTGCTGCATAATCACATTTAATATGTTCATTTGGATTTTACTTTGTAGCGAAATATGATATTATCATTAAAAAAAGAAAACTAATAGAGAAAAAAATAGTGTGATTTAGAACAAAAATATCTCATTAAACATAAGTTCTTGGTGAAAAGTCATAATTGGCATATCATTAATTGGTGAGAATATGACACCATAATAAGCCGTGATGAAACGCAATGAGACCGTAGAAATAAAATCTAAACCAAAATTAAAGACGAATATTGTACTGTTAATGATATTTTCTATAAAAGAAAACAAATTTCTTATATTTTAGATTGACATACAGATGGGAGATAAAGTTCTGAAATTAAAAATTATATATGTGGTGGTCATAAAATTATATTTTTAATGGTTTTTTTTTTTTTTATTGTTGAGAAGCAAACTGTGCATTTTAATTTATAACGTATGATTTTAAAATAGGTCTTTGAATGAAAAATGTCCGATAAAATTCACTTATACTGCATTCCATGGTGTTGGACTACCGTATATGACAAGAATGTTGAAAGATTTCGGATTTCCATCTGAAAATATAATTATCGTACAGGTATGGAATAATTGCATTCCTTAATTGTTTTCAATTAATACTTTGCCAATATTAACGGTAATAAAGAAATTCTTTTCAGGAGCATGCAGAACCAAATCCCGATTTTCCGACGGTACCATTTCCAAATCCAGAGGAGGGTCGGAAAGTGCTCACAATACCTATAGCAACAGCTGACAAGCATAATTCTAGCATAATTCTGGCCAATGATCCAGATGCTGATCGTTTCCAGTTAGCGGAAAAACAACCCAAGTAATAATTTCGATTTTAATTTACTCAGATTTTCGTAGGGAAGAAATATATCTAGCCAATTATGTTATAGTATGGATTTGTCTGTGGTGAGAGGTAAGGTAGCTCGACCCACAAATGATATAGACAGGAATCATATGATCCTTGAAGGCTTAAATCATTTATCCCTTATATCCACAAAGAAGAAAAAAAAATGCATATTTCAATCACATTTATCCTATGTGATTGAAATGTGGATGATTTGGATAAAAATTGCGACAAACCGATATCACTGCACACTGATAGTATAGCTATTTAGAGCTAGGCAATAGTCTTTCAATTATCAGTTAATTTATTAGTAGAACAGATTATAAATTAATTCTATTTTCTAATTCTATTAAATTTTAGAGGTGAATGGAAGATTTTTACGGGAAATGAAATGGGTGCTCTGATTTCATGGTGGATTTGGCATTGTTGGCGAGAACAAAATCCGGAAAAGGATCCCTCAAATTTGTACATCGTCAGTAGTGCTGTTTCATCCTCAATAAGTCGTACTATTGCAACAAAAGAAGGTAATTATAGAATTTACTATAGCAATCGACTTTTAGAAAGAAACATCTACACAATATGAGCTGATATCGAAATTTTTCAATTATTTAAGGAATTGTGTTCTTCAATTTGTGACAAAAATTCAGATCCGAATTTTTTTTTTTTTCAGGCTTATTATATATCCTAGAAAATACAAAACTCTGAGGTTGATTAACATGAGAATAACATATGATTCTCATGTCTTTGCAAGACAGCGATTGAATATGAAATATCAAGCAATTTGAACTTTCTTGATAAAATGATAGTTGATAACTTGATTGAAAAGTAGGAAACGAAGTTTCAAATTAATTCCAGGTTTCAAAATTGAGCTAGGTTTAACCGGATTCAAGTGGTTAGGAAATAAATCGGATGAGCTTCGCCGTCTTGGAAAAACAGTATTGTTCTCATGGGAAGAATCAATTGGTTTCATGCTGGGGCATGCCCTCGATAAAGATGGTATTACTGCAGCTGCAACATTCGCTGAATTGACATCTTATTTATATTCCGAGCAATTAACTCTTGCTCAACAACTTCTCAACATTTACAGCGAGTGAGTCTAAATATAAATATAATTTTTTCTAAAAAAAAAAAAATTGATCCAATTACAGCGAAAAAGTGACATCTTTCGAGAAAAAAAGCTAGGTTTTTATAGATATTAGCAAGGATCCTGTCAAAAAATCCCAAATTTTTTCAAAAGAAAGCATTTCGGGTAATAAAAGCAATAGTAAGATCGGAATATTTTTTCAATCTCCTTGATTACGGAAAGTAAAAGATCTATTATAATAGGTATGGTTTTCATCTAATTAGTAGCTCGTATTGGTTTGTACCAAATCAAACAACAATGAAGAACATTTTTGCAAAAATACGTAAAGGCAGTAAGGTATGATTTACATTTAAAATATTATTTTGAGGAAAATACATTTACAATTTTAGTTGTAAGGAAGAAATAAATATAGTGAAAAGAATTTTCAGTACCCACAAAAAATCGGAAAATTCGATGTTAAATATGTACGTGATCTGACGATTGGGTATGATAATGAGCAACCTGGAAATAAACCAGTAAGTTTTATTATTTCTTAAAACCATTACTGTGACTGATGATTCTTTTCTTACTCATTATAATAATTACAAATAAAAATTTAAAGTGAATAGGAGCAAATCACGATGAATGTACAACTCTGTGAAAATTTAGACGTTTTATATGTCGCATATTACATGATATAGAAAAATAGGCTTAAAGAGGATTAAAAATCAAAGAGTAATATTAAACATTAAATTTGAAAAAAAAAATTTTATACGTAGTTAAAGTATAATCATAGAAAAATCAATGGTCTAAATTTGCTATATTGCAATAATTACAGATGAAAATATTTTAATAGTTGATTTATTATTTCATTGCTGGATACTAACTAAAGATTGAAGTTTAATCTCAACTAGGACGAAAAATTACTCACCAAATCTTAACTGGCATTATATAGTTACAGGGGAAATTTCCATGGAAATAACTTTTTTCATCACTTAGTTTCTAACTAAATGATTTGGAATACAAAGTGACTTTATTCGGAATTTCCTTACTAAATCTGTTAATAGATTCTACCGCTCAGTACTTCATCCGAAATGATTACATTCACATTATCGGATGGTAGTTGGGCAACAATACGAGCAAGTGGAACTGAACCAAAAATCAAATATTATATTGAATTCAAATCACCACCAGGCAAAACCAAAAAGTATTTTCTTTAAATTCTTTTTATTTCAAATTGTGAGCCAACAAAGTTAAGCATAGGGGATGATCAGCCTAAAGATATAATAGAAGATATTGTGGCTCATTCGGTGAAGGCCGCTAAAAGGAATAATTTCAGAGACTTAGCTGATATACAGAAACAACTTGCCGAACTAGAGCAAGCGGTAATTGACAATTTATTGGAGCCAAAAATCAATGGTCTGATTGCAAGATGTTAAAATTATATGACCAATACTGTCTCTCTCTATCAATTTCCTGTATTATCCTTGTTTTTTCTCTTTCTGTTAGATAATAGAAATTTCAAGTTTCAAAATGTTTGAAATTTTAAGAGTTTTGAATCCCTAACTTATTTTACAATGTGCATTTTCCGCTAATGATGCATTAAGCTCTCCAGGAAAATGGACAGTTCTATCACCTTTAAAAGACAATTTTACCATTTTTTAAAAGAGGTAGAGAAATATTGATAGAGATTCCATAGCAATATATCATTCAACAAAGATTAGCGCTTTTAGAAATAGAATTTTTCCTTGAATGAGCAATTTGGATATCAATTCAAGGAAAGATTCTTTTATTATTAATAGCATATACAGGAATAAAAATTTAGTTTACTTCAATAATATTAAGAAACAAATTCAACAGTTAGAAGAAGGCTGTATATGGGGTGAAAAGCTTTATTTCGAAAATATTAACTTACTTTGAGCAGATATAATATTATCAATTCTTTTTATTACAAGGGGATTCAAAATTCATTTTCTCTGAAATCTATTGGTAATTTATGTGAACGTTTGCATTCTGCCAACACATTTTCCACTTAATTCGTTGATTTGTTATGTTTTAGTCTTATATAACTTATATTTTTGCAATTATTACTATTGATAGTTAATTTATATTTTTAAAATTAATAAAATTAAATGATTGGATTAATGTTACTTGAACAGAAAAAGATAAGGAATGCGTAAAGATGGAAGAATGTTTACGGTATCAAAGTGCACTTAACTATCTTTTTTTTTCTCTAAGTGCACAAAGATAATAATTAACAATGAAGTCATCTACGTGATTTCCTTGCTCACCGGAAGCGATATACAGTCTCCGGAACGTCACTAGAAGATAACTGTTACCGGACGATATATATCAGAGTAGTAAGCATATAAGAAACGAACAGAAGCAAAATAAGATTTCAAGAAATAAACTTTTAAAAGGACAAAAAGAAAAAAAAAAGATGTCATCGAATTTGTACAATAACTTCCAACTTATTACGACTCGTACGCCATTTTCACTTGAGGGATAAACTTGTTGCACAGTGCTACAGTGTGTTGTTAGCCAATTTTTTATTACGTTTACGCATCTCACGTAGTTCCGTAAATTCCGCTTTAATCCATTGTGTTGCTACGTGAGTTCTCTTCATTAAGCTTTTGCAATTGTTACTGTTCATTCGATATGAAAGCACTGTTAAGAAATAGTTATGACTATTTGTTGTTATTTTCTCTTCTTTTTTTCTCTTTTCCTTTTTTTTTCTCTCTCTCTCTTTCCCTCTCTTTTTAGTTATAGTAAACGAAATAATTTATGAGTGCATTTTAAATATGAGCACTAATTGTTATATCGTCAATGAAAATATTAATCAAAATGAATTAACACGTTGATAATGAAATTTTGTAATGTAAATTTCTTATTTGTTTCAGCTGGATTCAATTTATTTGGAATGTGAAAGATAGTCGTATAATATGGAAAGAATTAAAACTAATTAACTGATGAATCAAAAATTGAACGTTACCAGTGATAGTACAAAAATGGGATTCTTTTCACCTGGTGGTAGCTGGAAATATTTGTCTGTTAAAGTAAGCACTATGGATGCTGACCTGGAGAAAATTACCGTGGAGGTTTGTTTGTTTATTTGATCGCTGTCTGGTTTATTTGTTAGCTCGAGTAACATATTATTGACTAATAAGTTTAGAGATAACTGAGCTTCGTGATTTGTTTTCTTGCATTACTAGGTTTAATAGACTAATATATTATTAGATTATGCTATAATATTACTAAATCTGCTGCATCATTAAATTATTAGTTGTTCGTGCCGGTTTTTCTGTTGCAAATAAGAAAAATATAGTATGTTATTAGGTTCTTAGAGTGCTTGGAGAAATAACGAAAATTAGAGATGATTGCTTTCTTCTTTAATCTTACTTTTCCTTGGTTTTCGAATTCAAATATTATCTAGCACAGATTAACGTCTTTCTTCAAGAAGAAAGTAATCACCGATGTAAGCACATTAAATGACAACGTTGAAATGCATTTAGCTTATGCATTTGCTGTTATTATTGTAAGGTTGTTCAATTTAGACTTTTTTACAATTTGAAAATTATATGTATATCTAAATTTTTGTATCACTTCTAATTTCTCCATAAAAATTTGCAGCCAGACTGTACAGGACGACAGCTGTTTGATACGGTTTGCAGGATTATTGGTCTAAGGGAAATTTGGTTTTTTGGTTTGCAGTTTGTGAATAAAAAAGGGATTCCGTGCTGGTTACAAATGGATAAGAAAGTTTGTTTGTTCTCATAAGATAACTGGAAATTGTTAATGCTTAATCTGTTAGTGAATTAAATAAGACACATAATCATCAAAATTTTTGCATTCTTTAAATTAAATATAATAGAGGAGTGTTCAGTAAATCGTGAATGCTCAGTAGATGTTACATATCATAAAAATTAGATTATGATTCATTTTTCGAACAATTTAAGATATTTTTATACTTTATATCATGGATGTACTCCTAAACTAGTTAAGTGTAATATGTTTATCGTTGATATGATTCACTGCGTGTTTTTGTTTTCATAATGCCGATCGCACATTACTTCACTTATCATTAAGCCATCACCAATCATTTATTAACTTCAAACTTTAGATAAGTAAACAGGAAGTGCCTAAACAAGAAGATGGTTCGATGCATCTCATATTTCTTGTGAAGTTTTATCCAGAAGATGTCGAAGAAGAACTTATACAAGATATAACGCGTCATCTTTTCTTCCTTCAAATCAAACAAAGTATTCTAAGTATGCAACTATATTGTTCTGCTGAAGCATCTGTTCTTCTTGCATCATACGCTGTACAGGCAATTGTAAGTTTTATTACATCTGTAAAAAATTGCTAGCTTCCAAGACTTTTTTGTTGTGCTTGTAGCTGCCCCAGAATCAGTAAGGCGCTAGTAGAGATGCTTTTATTTATTTTTAGAAATTCACAAGTTATGAATTGAAGAAGTGTAAGTTATTCAGCAAGGTGACTGTGTGGAAAGTTCGAAATTGCAATTAAGTGAGTTATTGCCGGAATGTGTAATCAAACAGTACGATATGACACCACAGATGTGGGAGGAACGTATCAAACGGTGGTGGATAAATAATAGTGGGCAAAGCAGGTAATTTCAGACACTTTTTTATCATCGGAAGCTGAGTAAAAAGATTCGATGTTTAAATTAGACTTCTATTTGTAAAACTGTGCTACTCATGAATAGTTATGTCGATGTGTTTTTGGAAAATAAGTAAAACCAACAGCAGTGTTATAGGGAAGATGCAGAAATGGAATATCTGCGGGTTGCACAAGACTTAGAAATGTATGGAATTCAGTACTATCCTATATGTGTTAGTTTTCAAATTTTTGTGCTTAATCTTATGTAGTATATAATTATTTTAAATTAACTTTAATTGAGAAATATTTTATTATTTATTTACTTTGGCGACTGCAACATATCTCTGTCTCTGAACAGCGTCTCAGCTAGTTGATCTCTTTTTTTGATTTTTTTAAAGGATGTTTAAATTGGTTAGTTTTTTGATTTGCATAGTTGATTTACTGTAATCAGTGATATTATAGAATAACAAAGAAACGGATTTAACACTCGGTGTATCTGCGCAAGGAATTGGGATTTACAAAGAATCTAATCGAATTACACCACGGCCATTCTTCTCCTGGAGCGAGATTAAGAACATTTCATTCAAAAATAAAGTAGTAGGTTTAATGTATGCTTCTTAGATGATTCATAATTTTGCGAAATCTTTATTCTGATTAATTTGTTTCTTTGGTACTTTGATGCTTTACTATGTCTCTCTCCAGTCACACAATTAATAAAGTGTAATACGCAGATTACACTTTAATATTGATACAGATAATATAACTTTAGTACAGATAATATTGATTTTTTTAGTACGAATATGATTAAACTGGTTTAAGTGAAATGGTCGAACTAAAAGTTAAGATCTATAAGTAAATTTTGTTCCAGTTTAATATGAGGACAATGGACAAAAGTACGATTACATTTCGTGCAAAAGATATCTCTATCAATATGAGCATATTGGATTTATGCGTTGGTACCCATAATTTATACTTACGAAGACGTCAGCCAGATTTGCTCGAAGTGCAGCAAATGAAAGCTCAAGCTAAAGAGCAGAGAATTAGACGAATTGTTTGTTTTTTGTTAAAAGATTTCAAGTGTTACTGAAAAAAGGTTCTTCCATTTTTCTAAAGATATTGATAGGAGGAATCTTTAGGATTTGTATAGTACTCTTGAATGATTTTTGTTCTCTCCATGTGTTCTTATATTCGGTGATACATGGATTTTTTTTCCAGCAAGAACAAAACCGTTTATCTCGTGAACGAGAGCAGCGTATACAAGCAGAAGCAGAGCGAGATCGATATAAAAATGAAATAGCCGCAATCAACGAACAACTACGCAACATGAAGGTGCGAGGATTTAAATTTTTGTTTGATATTAATGATTTTTTTTTTCTTTTTTAACACTTTCTCTTTCGCATATTGTGGATGGAAAAAAAATACATATTTCCTTTTTCAATTTCTTTTTAGTATTCTCTCATCGGAAATGATTGGATTAAAATATGAAGCTGTTTTGGTCTGCTTTCCAGGTTGTTCTTTGAAAAAAGATGAATAGTAATGTAAAGTGTGTTTCTTTTAAGTGAGCACAATATTATGCCAAGAGAAAAAAAACTGAAAAAATGCTATTTATTTAGGAGGCTATGAAAAAAACCGAGGAAAATGCGCATTTAATGGCAGAAAAAGCGCGAGTATCTGAAGAAGAGGCTCTTGTATTATCAAAAAGAGCTAGCGAAGCTGAAGCAGAATGTCAGCGCATGAAACTTTCACAAATCAAGGTAGAAGCTCAAATTTACACTTTTTTTTGGAGTTCAAAATTATGTTTGTGCTATGGATGGAGTAAAGGATTAAAGATGGAGGCGGCGTTTATTTAAAAAATCTTTAAAAAAAGTTTGAATCTGGCACTTATACTTATGTTAAATATGTAAAACTTTCTCCAGAGAATTCTGATTAATTGATCAAATGGGACAAAAGTTAAATAAAAAAAGCTGTATATTCTTAACGACTTCACACAGAAACATTTTGATCTGTACTTGTTTAATAAATTTGCAATGGTAGATTCATTTCGATTCATTAAATGAAATAACGCGAAAACATAGCAGGATTAAAGAGCGAATTTTTACTATGAATTTAATTTTTACAATGAATTTAGTATGTTAAGTTCGTATATAGATTATTCTGCTAATGCTATTTCATACTAAAAAAAACTTTTTTTTGGCGGAAGAAACAAAAATGTCTCTGGAGCGAAAAGCACGTGATGCTGAACTTTGGGCTTATCGTCTAATGCATGAAACAGATCGTCATGGTTACGATCCGTACTTATGTCGTGCACATTTATATGACTCAGAACCGAGTTGGCCACAGGTTTGACTATTAATAGATAATTTTAGAGATCAGTCACAACAATTACATGGTTCTGAAAGAACAGATCTCAAACGTGTTTCATGAATCTACTCTATTCTTTATCAACTAGGTCATGTTTGATTTAGGTTGTTCTCATCAGCTAAAATTTTCAATTAATTAAATTTTCCATATCTCATTTATTGCTGAACGCTTTCATGTTGTTCAGTAATTTTTCTTTTTGAATTTATATGCTCTTGCTGCAAAATTTAGTCTTCAAAACTAATTATCATGTATCATTACACATTTTCAGGATTGGTTATCAGCATACGTACCTGTTCCCCAACGTTATATCAATCATCATCGTTTAGTGTCATCATCAAGTAGTGGAGATGGTGGTTATATGCAGTATCTAGATGATGATCCAAATTTTACAGCTACTGTTGCACCCATAATTAAAACACAGCCATCACTATTTATGAAGAAACAAGCATTGCTGAATTGTCCACCACCTGATCCATCTAGTAATCAGATGACACCAAACGATCTTTTGTCTTTACGGACAGAAATTGAAAAATCCAGGTGCTTCGAAGTACTTTTTAAAGGAAATTCTAGAATTTCCTGATACAAGTAAGCTCTAAGTTTCTGATTATTTTCAGAGCTGATTATAATGAGAAAAAAAAGAGTCTTCAAGAAAGGATGACCGAATTTCGGAACGAAATTGAAAGTTTGAAAGTTGTAGATCGTCAGTCGGAACATGATCGAATCCATGCAGCTAATCTACAAATGGGTATTGATAAGTATTCCACGCTTAGAAAGGTAACTTTTCTCACATTGAGAAAAACGAAACACGAAATTCATCCTTAGAAAACTTTATTAATTGAAAAATTTCGGATTATTGATGTGCAGAAGAGATGTCTGTTGTGTTAGATACCGTATCATTGAATACGACGTATTTCCTCTTAACTACTGCATAGAACTTTGTTTTCTTGGTTTATCTGCAAGTTTGAATTATTGGTTTATTGATACCATAATATTTAGTGGAAATTACAATTATTAATAAGCTTTATGTTGCAGTCAGTTCCTGAATCATATACATATCATATTTATAAGGTGATTTTAATATAATTCGGGCGTGTTTTTGTTTTTTGCTGTGTTTGAAATCAAAAAGGAATGTTTACCTTACAACTTAGTCATAGTTGGAGTTTATTTTTTTATTTAGAAAGTACCAGTCCACTTTGATTTTGAGGTGAAATCTCTGTGAACTGTCTTATTCATTATTACAAATTGAAAATGAGACGATGCCATAATAGAGTAGTAGAAAATATAAACTGATAATTTCGTATTTTGGTAATTTGTGAGTAGGTTTTTATAGTACTGGACAATTGAAGCATAATTATTGAATAGATTTGCATGTTATCATCACATCACACATATTTTATTTTATTCACGTTTTGGTTTTTGTGAAACAGTGTGCTTTTACCAGTGACTTTAGCATTTAGAGCTTTTATTAACCAGATTTTCAACTATAATATTTAGTAGCTTTGAATTTTGCAGAGTGGCGCTGGAGCAACGAAGACTCGAGTGCAAGTGTTTGATGGTCTCTAATTTCAACTGTTAATTTAATGACGAATAGACAACAAACACTACATAATGCTATTATTTATCTGTTGCAATCATCATTATCTTATTGCAACCATCTTTTTTTTTTTTTTTTGAATTCAGTTATATTCCTTTCATGCGGGAAAGTTATCAGTTCTGATAGTTACAGATGTCTTACTTTGTCTAAATTAAATTTCATTAGGTTTTCTATGATCTGATTTTATATCAATCATTATAACATCAAGTTATAACATGATGCTTTGAAAGTTCTACAATTCAGTTATCCTCTTTACATAGCTGTGTTTCTACCGGAATTTTCAGCAGTCTTATTCATGTAATCTGATTCAGCTTTCTCATAAACTTGATTTTTTCTCCATCTTTTTTTTTTTTTTTTTTTCATTTCAAAACAGGTTAATTGATAGAAGCGGTAAATTACTACACTTCAACTTTATGGGATTTTCACATTTGGACAAAAAAAAAGTGCAAATGTTTTGCAGCTTTAACTTTTTATATGGTTTATGTTTATGTTGTCATTCCATTAATTAGTAAAAGAAGAATTTTTTTCCATATCTTTCTTTTGGAATTTTATATACCTTTTGGATGCCCATATCTTATTTGTTTATTTTTCTATTTTTCTTACTTTAGTCCATACATTTATATGAGTGCCTTGTCTATTTTTCTTTGTTTGGTGCATTGCAAGATGGGGAGCTCAAATAGTTGACCGGTGTCGTAGTGATTAAGTCATAACTTTGGTCTTGCATTAATTTTTCCGAATCGCGAATAATTTATCAAGCTCTTGCTACTTTATATTTTTCTTGACTTGAACAATGTTTATTTATTGGATTTTTAATCTTCAAGTTTGCATAATTCTTGTTTTGAATGACAAATCAAATCATACAAGTTTTTGTTTATCCATTTACATCCTGCATATTCTCATGAAGAAAGGGAAGAATGAGGAGATTTATTTTTAAAAAAGAAGTAATGAATTAGTTTTTGAAATTGCTCATTTTTTTTTTTCTTCATTCATAATTTACTTTATTTGACACATCATGCTTCCTTCTGGTGATGGTTTATTTTTGCATTTATTTATTTTACTTTGATCTGCTGCTTTTTATGCATTTTAAGAATGTTTTAAATTTAGTAAAAGAAACTCTTCGGCGTTATTGAATATTCTGTTTGCTTCATACGCAATATTTGTATTAAAATTGAATGGCAATATCTAAATTTAATTAGCTTTCATTTAGCAGTATTCATTAACTCAGGAAACTAAAACATTCTAAACTATGATTTCTATTGAATTCAGAATGAAGAAAAAAGGATTAAAATGTTTTTTGAATCGTTTTTACACTGAAGATTTCTAAATAAAGAAAATCTGAATTTTGCTGCAATTTAATAGTATCACAATTATTGTCTTTGCATTAAATAGTAGAGGTAAAGAATGAGTGGTAGTTGTTTAATGACAATTTAAAATTATTCGTTTGATTGTTATTGCATTTTGAATTTTATCATTGGTAAAAAAATTGAACGTGCTAGATTTTTAGGATGTCAGCAAAGCGTGCTCGACCTACTACTATTACTACTACTGGTAACTTACAGTCTCCAGAGAAAAAGAAGCAAACCGAAGAGCACATGATAAAAACTGTTTCGGTAATTCAGTCTCGTTTGAATAATTTATTTTTTGAGTGTTTAATTGTTTTACTTTTAAATGAGGTTTCTTCATTCGTTAATAAATGTGAAAATGAAATTTAAGATTTTCATGGGTATTGATACTCAGAACATTTTTGAGTAATATTGATGGCAGCAATAATTTTAGTAAGATTATTATTTTTTTTTAAAAGGAATTTTATGAACGAGAAGATCGTGAAGCATTATCAATGACCGCAGCATCAATTGAAGAATCTTTTCTACAACATTCGCAAGCATTCAAACAGAAACTTCTCGATTCATGTAATGATTTAGTTAAGGTAATTTATCCCTTTAATTTCCATTTTTAATTTTACCTTTTACTTTATTTAGCAGATTCCAAAAATTTTTTCGCAAAATATATAGCAACTATTTGAGCCATCAGAAGCATCAAATTTCGAAGAGTCATTACTTTCACTCTTCATATCATTGCGGCGATTGAATCGTTTGGCTCAGTATCGAAATCGGCAAATTCGTGATCGAGTAAATCAAGAACGTGCCGTCGTTGAAGAACGATTTCTACAATTGCAAAATGTTAGGAGTGAAATTGAGCATTTACAGAAGGAAATTAATCGATGTTATGATTTCAGGTGAGCATTTCTGTCGTAAAAATAAAGTATTTGGTGCTGCTGAATTCTAAAAAAGAGCAGTAAGAGTTATATAGTTTTTTAAACTTAGGAATTACAGTCAACAGTGTATAAGCTTTTATTTTTCCTTTAAAAATTTAGGTCAGCTGATGAGGACATTGAATTGGTATCACTAGAAGAATTCTATGCAAATGCACCGCCAAGTATCTCGCAAGAAGAAATCACTCGTAACGATCCGCATCGACAACATTTAGCTCGATTAAACTGGGAGATGCAGGAGCGTAAGAAGTATTATTTAATTATCTATTATTTTTCTGAATTGAGATAAATGAGGAAGAACAAGAACGGAGTAGAAAATTGAAATTGCTTTTTCTGCACATTTTGCATGACATTTTTTTCTTTTTTGTGCAATTTGATAGGGAAATCGATTGTTCTAATTTACTAACGAAAGTTATTCAGGAAATTTGCTTTGTTAGTTCGATGATTAGCTTTCCGGTTTGTTATTTCGAGAAAAAATTTAAAGAAAATTAGCTAATTCGTTAGGTGTTGGAAACATAAAGGAAATAGTCATTCACAAAACTTTCCTGTATAAGGTTAAATAAATATCAGTTGTATTTGTCTTGCATTTTTTTTTTTCTTTATTTTTATAGTTTGGTTGGAACTTTGCAAGAACGAGAAGGACGAAAAAACGTACTTATTACTGATATTACAACAAAGGAACATCGATTAAAGTCGCTGAAACCACGTATTGAAGCCGTGATTGAGGTTTTTTCTTACATTTTGTATTTTTAGCAGTTGACTTCTATTGTATTTTTTCATATTTTTCATTCTGAAAAAGTTTTTACAAATTTCTTTAAACTTTGGAAAAACGGTATTTTTTTTTTTTTGACTCTGAAATATACTTTATTTTTACGTGATTTAGGCAGCAAGGCCTGTGCAGGAGCTGATGGGATTAACATGCAGTCCTATTGATGTTGAGAAGGAGCGCGTATTATCTTTGTTACCTCAGGAGCTTTCTGTAATTGTTATACAGATTGAGGCTTACTGTGATATTGTTAAAGGTTAATTTAGCTTGCCATTCCATAAAAAAATTCGTTTTACATCTTGTATAATGAACTTCTAGAAATATAATCATTTTTTTTTTGTAGTACATTTGCAAATCTGTAATTACCTTTTGCTTGTAAAAATTATGAAATAATGTGGCAGAAGAAAGTTTGCTACTCATTAGCAATGTTTAAATATGCATATTTTTTTAGAGTCTGGTATAATACTAAAATGCAAAGGTGATTACGAAAGTGCTATGAAGTTTCTAGAAAGTCGACAGCACGTGTTTGAAATCCCTGAAGATGTTGATGATGAAGATAACCAGGATGATGCGAGTTATCCTAACTCTTTTTTAGATGATATACGAAGCTCTTTATATAATTTAAATATTACTGTGTTTCTGGAACGAAGAACGATTTTAATCCTTCCAATATAATTAATCTATTCAAAAAAAGATGTGTGAAGTAACTAATTGATGGAGAAATATTAGTTTTTTGTTGCTTTTTTTAAGTAGTTAAATGACTATGTCACAAAATCCTTCGAAAAGTTAATGTTTGGTTACCATCAGAAAAGTATTGCATTGAATTTTCGAAGCAGTCCTTATAGCTCTATTAAAAAGAAAAAAAAAAGCATTACCTCTCATGTATTGATGGGTTACAGATGGACGGAAAACAATCACCATTGGCACGTCACGATAAAAGAAGGCGTATATCCATGAAAGAATTAATTGCTGAACGAAGGAATGCTATTGTTGCTCCTCATCCCATTCATATTGAAATGGAAATTGCTTGTCAAGGTTAGTTAAATGTGCTTATGATATTATTTCACTTTAAAGCTTAGAAAATTGCTTTATGTAGGTATTCTTGTTCGTCGAATTTGATAGTTTAGAAATTTCGGATTTTCAGACCGAAAGTTTAGTAAATTGTTGTTTTCGTTTTATAGCACATTTACACGCTTGAATCGTTAAATAATAAAGAACATAGCTATTTCTGGTGTAGTTCGAAAGTTTAAACTGGTTTTTCTTTCCAGACGATATTTGTGTAACCCTTGTGCTACAGTTTATTCCGGGTTTACGTTCAATTGGAGTAATAGCAAAGTTGAATCGAATACCCACATCAGTTTACGGGTGTTTTTTTTTTTTTCTTCGGAAATCGTTATTTGATCCCATAATTTTAAGTTTTTTCAAATTTCAAATTCACTAAAAGGGAAAATATTTCGAAAGGATGTAATTGTAAAATTGATGTTTTTTTTGTATGACCGTTTACAGAAATGCATTATTTGATGTATCTCTTCTGTCTGAATTATTTGATGGCGATGACGGAAGTAAATGTGTCAATAGTGCAGGACAAGCCAAATTGGATCAGTTACAGTATGCTTTTAAGTGAACTTAGGATATTTTTATATAAATAATCTGTTTCATTGAAATGTAAAAATCATAGCAGTTTATAACACCTCTTAATTAATTCATTTAATCAATGGGAAATTTATTGAGTGTTTATTCAGAATTTTCGTTTTGTTTCACTATTTTACAGTTCATAATTTTTTAAAGGATTTCCGTAGCTGATTTGGAGTCTAAAATTGGTCGATTTTACATATTTGCTCAGAAAATGGCCGGTATAAACGATGAAATTACATCAAAAAATTCTCAACTATGTGAAATTATACATTCTGTTGTTGGAAAGATTAGATCAC